ATATATATATATATATATAAGAGAAAGTTGTATTGTTTCTGCATTTATAATACGTTATAAACCAGGATTGAGCATGTCCTACTTATTTCACTTATTCATCTGCTCCAACACACCTGATTCAGTCATTAAATAAGCCTGTTAATCACACATCATTTAAATCAGGTGTGAAATATAAACATGCAGAATAAGTGGCCCTCCAGGATCTGGATGTGACACTCCTGTTATTGACTGTATTTAAGCTTACCTTCAAAAAATAAAGTTGGTTATCTTTATGTAAAATGGACACAACCACAGAATACAATGAAGTGTTTTTTCTCTAAAAACATTTTAAATGGTCATATTTACAAAAACAGCTTTACTTTTGTGTTTTTTTTTATTTAATTTTTTTGCTTGTTTGATTTTAATCAAACATTTTAGTAAAGCATGAGCACTTGTTACATTTATTTATTTAGTTAGATCAAATTAAGATGGACTGAAGACTTGATTAGAATATAAAACTTGTAAAACAAACATTCCTCTAAAATAAAACTGTGCATGTGAGAGGAGACTTTGATTTATAGTAGAGCTTATTAATCATTTAGAGCTGATCAGATCAAAGAGCTAAAAATCCATTGTTGGCACRAACTAAAGACACTGTAATTTCCCTAATTTAAACTTTTCATTATTGGAGTTTATAGACATAAGCAAATAATATTTTACATTAAACAATCATTTGCTATTTTTTAATGAATTTGATTTGTAATCTGGTACCAAATCTGATGTGAAATCTCTTTAAATGTAATCCACTTTCACTTTTCAAAATAATGCTGATATGTCTTCATAAATACTAAAAAAACAATTTGTTGTATTCATGAAACATATTCTAAAACAATAAATTTTAGTTATTTTAATATTACAGATGAGTTAAGTCGTTTTTTTTTTCATTCAACAAAAACAAATCAACACAAATATAGACATGTATTTATCTGCCTCACCAGTACCTTGATGAAAAAGCTTTCTTGTCATGCACAATAGGTGAACGCACGGTTCCAGTAAGTTCACAATGGCAGTATTACAAGGTCAGCTCGGAGGTTTCGCCTGGCTCAGCAAAGACCTGCAGGGCTGCAGGGCGTTCTGCTCAGCTGACGGGGCTCTTTGCTTGTTCACCGGGCTCTTTCTCGAAGGGGCCCCTGTGACCGAGCCATTCAGGAGCTCTGGCCATAAATGACAGAGGTGAGCGGCACATTAAGCACTGCATTCTCAAAAAAAATAAATTAGCATCAACTTTGGAGAGCAGCCAAAATGCCAGGAACAAAAGGTGAGAAACATTTAACAAATAATAATAATAATAATAAACATTAAACGCATTTGTTGAATATTAGATAATAAAAACTAAAAATGAAATCATAATTAAAAGACAAAGCCTTTAGATGTTTAATGAACCTGTTTATGTGAGTCTTATTATTCCACTATGTTCAGGTAATAAATCGGACAAGAAATCAGCTACCAAGGTGGGACAAAAAATTCTTTGTTAACATTTTTGACCATTTTTCTTCATTTGAACTTGACTAATATTACTTTCATCTCACAGCAACCTCAGAGTCCTAAAGAGCAACCGAAGAAAGGTGATCAGAAAGGAGATGACAACAAGAAGCAAGGAGGTAAGCATTTACAACTTCAGTTCAYGAAGAGCTTGGAACATCGTGTAAATGCAAAACAAAACAAACAACAACAAAAAAAAAAAAACAGAATGCAAAGCTTATAAAACCAGATTTTATTCACAATAGAAATTAGTGAATAAAATAAAATTATGCCATTAAAAAATAAATGTAATTTTAAAATTATGGTAGCCAGAAAAGTTGGGACAGGAGCAACAAAAGGCTCTAAAGGTCGGTAACTTTAATGAGAAACAGATGGGAGAGTATTTATAAATAAATAACTTCATTGGCAACAGGTGGGGACTGGATATAAATTAACATTTTAGAAAAGAAGAATCTGTTGGAAGTAAAGGTGGGAAAAGGTTATCCTGCATCTAAAAAGAGTGGCGCAATTTCAGAATAATAAGATTTCAAATATCTGGAGAAATCTCTGCGTTCAAATGACAAAACTGAAAGTCATTATTCAAAACTGCATGGGCTCAGCAACACTTCCACAAAACGTTGTCTCTAAAAACAATTCATCGTGCCATACACAAGTACTGGTTAAAGCTCTATCATGCAAAATAAAAGCCATATGTGAGCACCATCTAAACACAGCTGTGGGGCAAAGCTCRTTTAAAATGAACTGAGGCAAAGTGGAAAACTGTTCTGTGATCAGACAAATCTAAACTTTTAATTTCATTTGGAAACCACATTTTTTCACACTAAAGAGGAGAGGAACCATCCTCCTCGTTAGCAATCAGTTTAAAAGCCTGCCTCTCTGACGGTATGGGGGTGCATTAGTGTGTCAGTTATGGAAATGCACCATCACTGTATATAAAGTACATTAAGGTTTTAGAACATTATACTTCTATTAATACGTCTTTATTTCAGGGAGGGACTTGCAGATTTCAGCAAGACAATGCTAAACCCTATAATAGATTCATTACAACAACATGGACTGTTAGTAGAAAAGTCCAGATGTTGAACTGGCCACCAGGACTGCTGAACACCTAGAATGAGACAGAAACAGAGCTCTGTCCTCCAAAAGCTTTAGTAACCATCAACTCAGTTCCAAGAAGATTAAAATCACATTTGTTCTTTAAAATGCTTCTTAGTTTAAACATTTGGCATGTTCATAATGTTCCACTGTGAATAAAGTATGGATCTATTAGATTAGCAAATATTTGCATTGCTTTTATATTTTACACTTTAGACTTTTTATTATCATTTATGGAAAAGTGTCTGCATTCTAACGCTGCTTATCTGTGTTAAAAACAACAAGCGTGGACGTGACGTGTGACTGCTTTGTCCCCAGAGAAGATATCTGTCTGTTTTCTTCCCTCGCAGGACAGCCGAAGGGAGAGAAGCAGTAATTTCCAGGCATTCGTGAAGATGGCTTTGGAGACGCTGCTGGGGTCCTGCCGCCGTAAACACGGGGGTCCTCGGGGTAGACAGGGCTGAGCGTCCCTCCCCTCTGCACTTTACTGCCCCCTCCGACCCCAGATGGGGGCTGCTGTGTGGCCCTGTGACACAACATCTGCTCGCCTCTCACAGGAGCAGAAACCTGATCTTCATTCATCAGCATCTGCTGCAACTCTGATCCTCTCAACTATTTTTATCCAACTCTTCCTTTCTGGAAATTAAGAAAATAGTTATCTAAAGAAAAAAAATGTTTTTGCAACTTGCCCCTGAAACCCACCTTCACTGACTATAAGATAAGTGTAAATTATTTTSTGTAAATAATGAATGAAATAAAAGCAATCTATTAATTACATCAGTTTGTATGCATGGTGCCTTGCAAAAGTATTCACACCCCTTAAACCTTTCGACATTTTGTTACATCACAGCAGGGCTATTCAACTAAATCACTCCAGGGGCCACAGTTACTGCAGGCCAACAGCACAGGGGCAGAATATCCRGCAATTAAAATCATTATGGAAATAAACGGTTTATTACAAAGATCTGTTCCCTTTGAAATAGTTTATTTTGCTGCATTTAATCATGGAAACATCATACAGGACCATATGTAATAAAGGTAGTGACAAAAAACAATATCAAAAACAAAAATAACACATTATACCTCCAATTTAACACAATGTTTTTACATCTCTGACATCTAAAATTTTTTACCCCATTTTTTTCATAGTTTTATTTTTGACTGCTTGTAGTTTTAACTGTCTTTGATGTTCATAGAGATTTTTACCAGCTTTTAGCCAAGATTCTGACATTYCTGTAGACCCAAAGCATATCTAACTAAAAGAGCTTATAGTAAAGTAGAAAAYCGGGAGTTTGGGCTTGAACTGGTGGGCCAAACTTTCATCACTCGCCCGTTGAATAGCCCTGCACAACCACAAAACATATTTTACTGGGATTTTATGTGATCAACCAACAAAAGTAGTTCATTGATTGTCAATTGAAAGCAAAACTATACATGGGTTTCAAAATATTTATGCAAATAAAAATCTGAAAAGCACTTCTATCAGATACCCCTAAAATCCACTGTAGCCGTCAAAAGTCACCCCAAAAGTAAAGACACCCATTTATAATTTAATCTCAGCATAAATCCAGATGTTCTGTGAAGGCCTCAGAGGTTTGGTACAAAACATTAATGATCAAACATAAAGACCAAGGGGAAAACAACACACAGGTCAGGGATAGGACTGAGACATTTACAGCAGAGTTAGGTTCTAAAATACCCCAACCCATCTCATGGAGCTCTGCACAATTTATCATTCAAAAACTAAAAGACGAACAGCAAACCTCACCAAGACATGGCCATCCACCTAAACTGATTTATCAGGCAAGGAGACAAATAATTCAAGAAGCAGCCAAAATACCCCATAGAGGAACTGCACTCTCACTTGGTTGGGACAATCTGTGGACAGGACAAGCATTGCACTCCATWGCACTCCACAAATCTGGCTTTTATGGAAACGTGGCAAGAAGATAGCTAAACCAGAGGTCTTGTTTACAGTTTTGCAGGGACTTAGTGAACATGTGGACGAAGCTGCTACGCTTAGATCAGATCAAAGTGGAACTTTTTGGTCTAAAATTGTAAAACTAACCACACATTAGCCTGAATGCACCATCCCTGCAGTGAAACATGGGGGTGGCAGCATCATGCTGCGGGGATACTTTTCTTCAGCAGATAAGTTGGTCAGAGCTGAAGGGAAGATAGATGGAGTTTATAAAAAAATCTAATAGAATGTTAAAAAATAGATAAAATTTGTCTGGCCCATTTCTGGCTTACGCACCAAAACTCAGCCCAGATACTGCAAAAAATGACAGTCCTTTGGTGGCCCAGATAAAGTTTGCTAGAGGTGGTCCATGCGTGGGCCACCACCACATAAACCGAACCACATCTAGGGCCAACAGTGACATGCCATCTTAAAAAGAGTGCCATCATTGCCTGGCCCACATCCGGTTGAAAGACCACAGCAGTCAGCCAGCAGTGTTAGCTTGCTCTGGCCCACACCAGTCTGCAATGTGTCTATTTGAGATTGAGGCCAAGGGTCACCTGCCAACAGGACCAGTCAAAAYATCCAGTTAGGGTTTGGGTTAGGGTTAACCTCAACCCATTAGGGCTAAAATAAAATGGGTTTGATTGAAGCTTATTCAAATGTTAGAACGGCTCAGTCAAAGAATCTGTGGCAAGTCTTGAAACACTGATCAGATGCTCTTTGTCCAAACTGACTCAGCAGCAGCTATTTTGGAAAGGATGGACAAAAAAATTGTTTCTAGATGTGCAAAACTTTAGCCTGGTTTAAACCAGACCCTGTCCTTCACTTTGCTTCATACTAGGGTCTGGACTTGATGCATAGAGAAGTGATTCTTGCAGGAGGCGTGGCCTCCGCTGAAGCATATATGTGTTGTCGCTGTGACGGAGGCTAAACTAAGAAGCTAACCTGAAATTGCATGTGTTGTAAACAACCCTACTGAGAGGAGAAAAGTACCAAGCCGAACGAGACGGCTGTAAATGAGATTTGCTGCTTTGTCAGACAAATTTAATTTAATTTGGAAGCCTTATCAACACGGACAGGCTTCATTCACTTCCTTCACTGCCGTATGCTAAAATAACTAGCAGACACTGCGCAGAACACGACGTCATTCAAAACTCCGCCTTCTGTTCTCTGATTGGCCCAGGTAAAATAAACTACAAGCAGACTCTGCACAGAAAATTGATGTTCTGTTCTCTGATTGGCCCGGCTAAAAATCTGCCAGCGAAATCCTTGTCAATGGGAGAAATCCCAGACGGAGCAGAGAAGGGAAACTAGAATTGACGGAGCTGCATAGGAAGGTAAGGGCCAGGCTAGTAAAACTTAGAAACACCCTGAAAGACCAATTTTACCAAAAGTGGTTCTACAAAGTATTGACTCAGGGAGGCTGAATACAAATGCATGCCACATTTAGCAGATTTTTTTATTTTTTGGTAAAACATTTTTAAAACCATCGGCGATGGACCCTCCAGTTCACAACAATGTACTACTTTGTGTTGCTCCATCACATAAAACCTCAGTAAAATACTGTAAAGGGGTATTATGCAAAATTTACTATTTTTAGCTTTGTACCATGTTATGTCATTACCTCATCAAAAACATAACCAGAGTGTTGCTTTGACTCATTCAGGCATGTTTGAGAAAGCCTTGAATCTCCTGTGGCCATGTGGTGCTGCCTGAGCGCTTGCTGGTACAAAGCTCCGCCTATTTACACAAAGCTCCTCCCTGGAGCTCAGTCTGCAGTCGAGCTCCCGCCCCACAGAGCACCCCTCCCCTGAAACACTGCTGTGAAGACGTGCTGAAGTGGGAGTGTCAGAAATGGTAGGTTCTTAAAGAGACAGAGGCCATTTTCAAGGTGTTTAGGTGATGCTATGATGCAAAGTCAAAATTATTTTTGATATATACAGCGTTGTTATAACAACTGAAAGTAACATAGTTGCTTGATTGTGGTATAGAATTGAACGATGTGCCTGGAAAACACATAATGCCTCCCGCTTTGAAATGTATAATTCTAGCTTGACAAAATGTGGAAAGGTCCAAAAGGTATGGATATTTCAAAGGTTTTTACCTCAAAATCTAACATCTCACACCATCTCAGAACTACTTTCATCAAAAACAGAGACAACGTTCCTGGTTTCATGTAAAATTTTATAAAAATATCACAGGTGTGCCTTCACATTTACAGGAACCAAACATCAAACAGAAAGTAAATATCAGAGGAAAGAAAATTTACAGTATTTGCTGTGGACGTCTGCAGATACCGAGCTGTAACCAAACGTCGGCGCGCCTGCTTCAAGAAGATTGTTTTCACATTTTGATTTTCACATTTTCTGATGCACTTCCACAAAATCTTTCATTAGTTACGATCACACAAGTTAATCCTTAAAATCAGCTGTTAGGGGAAAGACTCTAAATAACATACTGTTCATATTAAAATCTCTGTACAAAATTGGAGTTTTATGATTTTTAACTATGCAATAATACATTGTAAATACCTTGACTTTAACTTTTATTTTAGGCTGAGGAGAGTTAAAACACAAATAAATTTTTTTGGAGGGAATTAGTTAGCTTCATAGAAATATTAATGTAACACAACAAAATCCAAACACTATAAGGATACTTCCACTACAAAACCTAATTCATAGACTTTATAATTAATTTGAATTACATTGTATATAAAGTTCACAAAAAGAGGAAACTACTATTGTTAACAGTAAAACCATAACCAGTGCTGTCTTCACACAAAGTAAAAAAAMCCCCCCACAAATTTAAGAGTTTTAATGAGTTTCATAATTTATTATATACTGTATTCCTTATTGCCAGCAAATCTGGAGACCAAAACTAACACTAATCTTACAAAACACTCTTTGTCATGAAGATTTAAAATAGAAAATGCACCTAGCACAAACAGAATGTGATCACAATCTAAGAATATGACTCACTGCTGGTTTTAGGACATTTTCTGAAAATGTTTTCAAAATCAAAGAATGAGGCCAGTGTTCTATTCAGTTTTTGATTGTGCTTTCTAACAGAACAACAACCAGGCAGCCGAGATTTAAAAAAAAGGTTGGGTTTTAAGGTTTAAATGCTGTAAAAAGAAAGAAATCAGAGAGACCTGAGAAGTTACATAACTTCTGAAGAAATTTAGATGGGCACCAATCCATTTACTGTCTGAAACTCTAACATCCATCATTTCTTCTAAAATAATAGTAACATTGCCAGTTTTTAATGAAACAAACGCAGAGCATACATTAGGCCTCAAATTGTCACTGTGCAAAAACTACAAGTTGTATTTATAAATACCCTGAACTCTGAGTAATCCTCCTGTATGTCCTTTTTATGTCTACAGTGTTTTAATTAGGCGATACAGTATAAGCATATATAGAGATATAGTCCTTTCAATGACTCCTGTGTATCGTCACCAGTGCATGTTCTCATAAAATGATGAAAGCTGTGCTCTGCATTTGACCCATAACACGAGATACAACCAGGTGGAGCAGCTAGGTAAGCACCCGATGAGCAGCTAGAGATTGGGTGTCTTGCTCAAGAACACAACAAAATGAGGGGATGGTGGGAAGTCGAACCTGGGACTTTCTGGTCCCAAGTCAGCTGCCCTACCACTGCATCACCGTTACGGGAATCAATGAGATTTGCACGCTCAGATGGATTTGAGAATAAATATATGTTCTTACAGCCGTATAAACATTGGGTGCAAGAAGACAGAAATGCCTACATTTTGAAGCATAAACTGTAAAAAGTGTAAAGACTGAGCTAACAGAATTTGTCTTTAAAGATTACGTACAGTTTAAAAGCTGACCATGTCCTGCTTGTTTTACCAAAGTCTCATTTTTGTTTATTTCCACAAATTTTGTCTACACTAAAAGATGTACTGCTACCAAAGTTCAAGCTGATTTATCTAAAGCTGCGTGAGGAATGGTGACAAAAACCTGCGACAAAAACTGAAGTATAAYAGCAAAACAGTAATAAAAGTATTTTTAATGCTTAACCACTGGCGTCTTGTTTGGAGGTTTTGCAGACAGCAACGTAAATTGAATAAAATTGCATTTATTCCTCCTTCCTCTTGTTCCACTTGTCTGTCACGCTGGTTTGTGATTAAGCTCCTCTGACAGAATGACATACAGGCAGCCGAGGTGAAACACTGCGGCTTTAAAGGCCGACAAAATGAGAAAGCGTTCAGAAACATAATGGCATAATTGATTTTGGTCATTTAACTGGATTTACTGACTATAAGAAGACCACAAAAAGTCATCAGCTTTATCTTTCTAACAGAAGTGGCACTGCAAAGCAATTGAGCTGAGAGGATATCACATCTGGAGGACATCTGCCTCGAGTGTGCACAGAGGAGCAGCCGATCTGAGCTGTGCTGATAGCTATTGATTAGGAGCCTTGGTGAGACGGTGGTAACTGCTGTCGCAGCGGGGGGTGGGGGTGGGGGGTGGGGTTCAACAACTGTAGCTCAGATAAAGAAAAAGATGTGATGTGGCGAAAGAAAAAAGGAGCCACAGGGTTTTCTCTTAGCGGGTATAAAAAACTATAGTCCCCAGCAGGTTAGCGTTCCACATGCCAACCGGGCGACCTGAGCTCTCAGTTGGTTTATTGTTATAACATGAAGGTGGATTTTTGTTCTCTTCGGTTCAACGCAGGATAAAGTCACAGTGCAGAAGAGGATTATGGGCTTCTCGTTATTTGCTCCCCTCACTTCTTCTGTTTTTATTAGAGAATGAGGCGGTACAGTACCCAGCATCCAAACGTGACCCAGTGGCTAGTCCAGCTCAGCTCTGACCACTTCTGAATGGTGTGGTGGGTGATGTCATCCTGCAGAGGAGACAATATAACTTAGATACCTAAAAGAATGATGCACAGACTTGTTGCAGTAAAATATTTTGTGAATGTAAAACCGTGGCACCAACATTTTAGATTTTCTGAACATATAACCCTTCTGTTACACACACACACACACACACACACACACACACACACACAC